GCTGACCTACCGAGCATGCTGGCTGCGGCAATGCAGGCGGCGCAGGCCAGTCCCTCAAGCCAGCTTCATCAGGTTGCACCGCCTGCATCCGCCCCTGCTGTTCCGCCTGCGCCGTCCCCAGCTGCTCCGCCTCCGCCTGCCCTTATTGTTCCCCGGTTGTCGGCGCAAGCGTATCCCACGTTGTCGTGGGTGCCCCCGGTTGCGGGAATGGGATTTGTGGGGGCGGGAGGAGGAGCGGCGAAGGCCCAGTATGCTCCTCCTCGTCCCGTTGACGCAGCTCTCCTGATGCGGTTGCTCCTCTGTCTCTCCTAACCGAGGGGTCCTTTCCTCGCCAAGTGTTGGTGCCCTCGGCGACGCTCGGTCAGCTTTGGCGATTGGTGGAGTGCCTCCAGGCACTCTTGCTGGTTCAGGTGAACGCCCATGTATCTCTTTCGCACCTTCCGGGGAACATTCTTGATCCCGATCCCCGGCCGGATTGTTTGGATGCTGCTGCGCATCTTCTGTTCCTCGTGGCGCCCGTGCTGGCAGCGCCCGCGCGGGGAGTCGTTGCCGCTGTTGGGCGGCTTGAGGCGGCAGTCCAAGGCCTGAGGCGGTACCTGCGTGCACGGACCGGAGCCGATGCGATCGGCGCAACTGCGTTGGTGGTCCGCGTGATGTGGCGCAATCTGTCGGACATATTGGCTGCCCTTGAGGCAGACCAGATGTAGGCCGTGCCTCGTGTCCCTCTATTGCTTCCCCTAGTAACGTGCCTTAGGGGCCATGCGTGTTTGCCTGATTGCAAATAGTCGTTGCTTGTGGATTGTCTTCCATTCCGAAACGCGCGGCCGGAGGCCGCCGGCGCGAGCCGCCGAAAACGAAAGCACAAGTAAATAATGAGGACGGGAGGGCACCAGAGGGCCTTAAGTTGGCTCTGAGGGCAGAGGGTAGAGGGCTAGGCTAATCCCGTCTCTCTCTCTCGCTCTGTCGCTCTCTCGAACAGCCGAAAACGAAAGCACAAGTAAATAATGAGGACGGGAGGGCACTGGAGGGCCTTAAGTAGGCTCTGAGGGCAGAGGGCAGACCCAGAGGGCAGAGGGCTAGGCTAGTCCCATCTCTCTCTCTCTCTCTCTCTCTATCTCTCTCTCTCTCTCTCTCTCTCTCTCTCTCTCTCTCTCTCTCTCTCTCTCTCTCTCTCTCTCTCTCTCTCTCTAATGGTCCATGTATTGATATAGAAGGAAAGTACAAGCATGCAAGGCATTAACTCAGAATCTAGGTAACACACAAACACAAGAAGCTAACAATCTTCAAACTACAGCTCCACAAGGGGCTCAATGACTGCAAAGCAGTCTCCTAGGTGCAACTCGTCCCCAATCCCACCCACTGGCGGGTTCTCTGCTGCCGCTGCCTCACCCAACTTGATCAGTAGACCAACTGATTGGGCTCTCTGTAGAGCCACTGACCACCGCTGCCGAAACTGGTGCAGAAATTTGGCGGCATAATAGGATTTGGAATCGGCGTTGAAGTGGCGCCGAGCCGCCGTGTCTGCAAGTAGCTTCAGGAAAACGGGAACCTCTGCACAGGGGCAGCCGTAGGTCTCTACGGCCAGGGGAAAGGAACCGACCGTCTCTGGTCTGTTTGAGTAGTGCTTGATTTTCTTGTCGGCCTGCTCCCTTGCCGCCCATCCTCTTCCTTTCTGAGCCTCCGGGTCCCTCGTGCTGATTGGGTCTGTGATCGTGACATCACACACCCAGACCGCCCCGCTGCTTCTGTCTGTCATAGTAAAATCGGCTGTCTGTTCCTCAATGGGGCAGTATGTAGCTGACTCTCTGTGAACGATAAATCCCGCGTCTTGTGCCATGCTGATGCATGCGTCTCTGAGCTCGTTATGAGTGTTGATGCGCTGCTTCCCCGTGCCGCAGCGAAACAGGTGGTTAGGAAGGCGAGGGTCTCTCTCTCTCTCTCTCTCTCTCTCTCTCTCTCTCTCTCTCTCTCTCTCTCTCTCTCTCTCTCTCTCTCTCTCTCAAGCGGTCCTTCATTGATATTGTGCAAGGTACAGGCAGGGCATGATAGAATCAGCCATCCTAGCATGCGGTCTAGATTTCAGGCGGGCCAGCAAGCACACATGCAAGCAAGCATCAATCTATAACAATTATGCTAGTTGGTTCGGGTAGCCATGTCCTGCCATGTGCCTAGCACCTAGGGACCGCTGCCTGGGGGCCCCCTACTCCAGCCCCTCACACCTCCAGGGCTGCCCCCCAGTCTAGGTCATCCTCTAGGACATGTCTCAGTCCCCCAAGCGCGGTTCCCATGGGTCAGCCGTGGCCTGGGGGTAGGCCATTTCTGTGGCACGGTTAGACTTTGCCAGGAACGTGTTTGCCTGGCTCCTCTGCAGCGTTACCGACCAGCGCTCGCGGTAGTGAGCTGTGAGTTTGGAGGCGACCGTGGTGAGCCTCCCCTGCCCAAACTTCTTTTTAGCCGCCTGTCTGCCAAAGAGCCTAAGGAACCGCTGTGTGTCGCGCGCAAGGGCCCCATACGTCTCCACCGCCAGCCCAAACACCCCCACAAAGTCCGGGCGGCCCTCATACATTCCCCTCTAGCTGCGTCCTCTGCCGCCCAGCCCGGCGGCTTCACTGCCCTGGTGTCGCGGCGCTGCAGGACGGGGTCGGTCATCGTGACGTCAGTTACGTACGTCTCGGCTGACTCCTTGTCCTTGATGGCCAGGTCCGCTCGCTTGGGGTTAACTGGTTGCGAGTAGACCGTGGTCTCATGCAAGGTAAGGTAGTCGGCCTCCCTGGCCATGCGCAGCGCTGCATACACTAGGGTGTTGTGTGTGTTTGTCCTCTCCTTCCCCTCCCCACACCGCAGCAAGTGGTTCGGTAGGCTCAGGTCCCCTATCTCCCCCCGCTCCCCCCCGCACGGGCAGTTGTCGGTCACGGGCAGAGCCAATCCCAAACGGAAGCCCAGGGCCATAGCAAACTGTTCTGGCGAGAACGTCAGGTCTCCCCGCGTGGGGATGGCATGAAGCCAGTCCCCCGCCCCTACCCCTTGTAGGCTAATTAGCCGGACCACGTGTCTTCCCCGGGCTTGTCCATCCGAGTGTCGCCTATCAGCTCCGTCGCCCGGTTCAAGTTAATGTGCCTTGACAACTGTTCCTGTAGGCGGCCCCTCCCCCCTCTGTTGTCTTCCCGCTCCCTTAGTAGTTCTCGTGCCTCCTCCGGGAGTCTTTTCCGTAGGTCCCGAAGTGTTGCTCCCCCCCTCCCCGCCACTCCCTCCCCCAGTGGTGATACCAGCGCCACCACCTGTTGCAGCAGGTGGTTTGGGGAGGGCGGCATTTGCTGTAGTAGAATCTGCGCCGCTTTCAATGACGCGAGATAGGCCGCCGGCGCTTCCGACAGCGGGTCTATCAGCCCCACACCGCCTAGCGCGATGGGCAGCGTCGCCTGCCTCCATACCAGACTCTGTTCCACCTCCTTAGATGGCACGTTGATGTTGGCCGCCCTTAGTGCCGTCCACAACAACCTCTCGCTCCACCCACGCCACTCCCTGAGGGGTAGAACGTCCGCCGGCGTAGTGCGCAGGAGGTAGGAGATCCTCCGCGATATGCATCGAGACAGGAGCAGCATCGCGTGTTGCGGGTGCAGCTTGCTGACGAGTCTTAGCGGCAGGGAAATCCGCTCCAGCGATCCTCTCAGGATGCGTCTGCAGTATGCCGCCGTGCCGATCGGGCTCCCGAGGACCTGCACTCCATCCACCGCAAACGCCAATCCTTCCGGTAAGTCCCCTGTATTTCCCGAGGGACTCCATGCCGATGACTTGGCCAGGTTGCATCGCAGTCCCAGTCCGTCGAGCTCTCGGCTTATCATGTTGAATGCCCTCGTTGCCGCCGCAGGCTGGCCGATGATCGAGATGTCGTCCGCATACGCCATCACCGTCACGCCTGGGACTGCTACCGCCGCCGCCAGCAGGGCTAGCTGTATTGCTGCCGCGAAGAGCATAGGGCCGAGCGGGTCCCCTTGTCTGACGCCACGAGCGCTGTCGATTGAGCCGACAGTGAAGCCTTTGTCCAGCAGCAGTTTCGACGGCGTGCCATATAACGTTCGCGCGAAGGGCAGTAGGGAGATCAGGTTGGTCCAACGCAGCGTCGACAAGAAAGACCCGCATTCTACCGAGATAAACGCATTTTCAACATCTAATTGTAAAATTGTTCTCGTCGTGTCTTCCTCCAGCAGCGTTCGGGCCGTGCGTATTATGCATTCCACTCCTCCCGGTACCGCTACACCGTATTGTACTGGCGGGAAATGCGAACGGATCTCCCCCGACAGTTCCCTTAGTGCCGCCTTCGCCGCCAGCCTAAGAAGTGCCTCCCCAATCGCGATTGGCCTCACTCCGCCGTCAGGTTTTTCCAGGGCGATTAGCCTCGATGGCAGCAGCAGCTCCCTTAGTGGCGCGTCCTGGTAAGTGCCGAGTAGGTTATTCACTACTTTGTGCAGCAGCATGAAGACCTATCCGTTTGTTAGGGCTGGGTCGCGGAGGTGTTCGAAGCAGGTGCCAGACGGGCCTGCGCCTATTCCATTTGGGCATCTCGCTAGGATTTTGCGGAACGAATCTGTGCCGATGGCGAGTGCGGTTTCACCGTAACCTCCCACTCCTTCAGGTATCGCCACCTCTGCCCGTGGGTGTTTCGCTCGGAGTGTTTCCAGTGCCTGTTGCGATGGTTCCGCCAACGGAGTGGTTTGTAACGCTGCCGCTGCCTTCGCCAGGTTGGCTTTCCTGACCAACCCCTCAACCCTCGCACAGATGCCCTCGGTGTCGGGTTCGTATCTGCTAGGTTGGGAAATGTCGGGGATGGTGCAGGCTTGGAGGTACAGCCCACCCCAATCTTCATCTCGGAATTGTCGGAGTCGTTTCTCCACCACATCGTAGCTATTTCTCGGCAGTTTCTCCACACTCGCCCTCAGTGTAAGCCTTGGCAGGAATTGCAGGATTCGCCACGCACCCACGCAGCCCGGATGTTTCGACAGTCACAAGAGGGGGATGGTGAGACAGTGGCTGTAGGATTTCAGAATTTCCGGGGGAAGCTTCCTGAACAGGAATGGTTGGGAGCTGGCTCGTAGCGGATCCAGATCCCAACTCGCTACCGCCCGCCATGTGTCCTCGTCGTCCGCGATGTCATTCGGTGAGCGCTCCTTGCTGGCGGCCTCATTGGCCTGCTGAGCTGGTGATTCGCCCACCTGTCCTGCCTCGTCGGGATTTCTTCCTTCTCGTCCTCGTCTTCCGCCACGTCTTCGTCTGCCTTCGTTGCCAGCGGGGACCCCATCCTCGGCCTCCACAGATACCTCTTCAGACTCCGCCTCTTCCTCCCCCATATATTCTGACTCCTCTTCCTCAGGCGGGTCATTCATTGGTTCTGCGTTCTGCTCCTCTGGCCTCCCGTGCCTTTCCCGCCAGTTTCCAGATCTGGCTTTTTCCCTTGCTACGGATCTCGCTAGCTCCCCCACCCGTCCCCCCTTGCCCCGGCCCCTCCTGCGTCCCCGCGTGGCCGTGCTTCCCGCCGCGTTTCGCGGCTGCTGACCCCTCGCCCTATCTTTCTCCTGCTCTCGTAAGGCCCTTTGCTTGTTGGTTTCGTTCCTCTGCCTTTGCCACGCTGCTGACACCGTCGCTATCACCTCTTCCTCCCTGTCCTCATCGTTCTCCTCGAGCTGATCCGCCGTGCGGTTTTCCTCGCCCTCGCCTCCTTGTGCGTGCAGGTCACGTTGCGATGACGGGCAAGCGCCGGTCCTCCTCCCGGTCGGACCGCCCGGCCGGTCCTCCTGCTGCTCCCAGCCACTCACAGGCCCAGGACGAGCTGGCGCCAGCCCTGCTCCGAGCCGCCGCTGCCCTGGTCGCGCACGAGGAGGCCGTCTATCGCTCTCCCCACGGGAGGACCCATCCACATCTCCGGGCTCGTGGCGGCTCCTTCCGGGGTCGCCGTCCGCCTCAACACCCTCCCGCTGTTCAGCGTGAGATCGTCGGGCCCCTGCTTCAGACGTGCGGTCACCGTCTCCTGGAGTCGTCGCCGTCGCGTTACCCGTCTGCATCTCTCCAGTCGTCCCATCAGCAATCGTCTGTGCCTGCGGCGTCATCGCCCTCGGCGCCATCGGCGCCGCTACCCCCTCCCGCCCCACCGGTGACTCTCTCTCTGCCGTCATCTCGCGCGCCTCCTCCTCCGGCTCCTCCGCCGCTGGCGGCTGCAGATGGGGCACCTCTCGTGCTTCCTGCCCGTACGCAGCCTCCACCGTCTGCAGATCCACCGGGTGATCCTCCTCAGCGGCTGTATCCTCTGGTTCTGCTCGACCCCTCCCCTGTCGCCTGATTCCCTCCCCCTCGTTCCTAGTCTCCCCCGCTTCCGCCAGACGCACCTGATCCTGAAGACGACGAGAAGTGGTGGAACGGTGAGCTGTGGGAGTCTCCTCCTCAGTCCGGGACGACGTGGGGTCGGGACTGGGACATCCAGTCCGATTTCGTTCTTGACGTTCTTCGCTGGGAGCGGCGCATGATCGGGGTTGGCGAGTGTCTCTCCCATGTCGCGACCGCCCTGGAGCAGATGCATGCTGGTCTGGAGGCGCGGAATCTTGTGCTTTGGGATCCCCAGCTGACGGAGCACCAGCAGGGCCTTGTGTGTGAAGCTGCGGCGCAGGGTCTTTGGCGCCTCCTCCGTTTGCCTCTGGAGTCCGAGCGCCCTGACGAGAACGAGGGGCCGGACGCGAGGGCTTTCCGCAGGGTAGCCACGGCTGCCGAAGAGGCTCCCCTCCAACTCGTGCCTGCGCTTGCGTCCTTGCTCCGCTGGATTTGGCGGCGGTTTTACGTGCTGAACCACGTGTGACAACCTGCCCCTTCTGGGCCTTGCTGTTTGCCTTCTTGTTCCCCATCTCCTCCCCCACCCCTCTCCTACTTACCTCGCCCTGGTTGTTAGGGCTTGTCTAGTGCTGCATGTTTGCTAGTGATGAATGCAGCTTAATCCTTGCCACCCCTCACGCGCGGCCGAAGGCCGCGCTGTCGAGCGCCGGCCGCCGAAGGCGGCAGGCGCGAGCCGCCGATTTTGCAGTGAGAATGAACTCACCACCAAACAATGAGGAGGACTAGGCTAAGCTGATCTGGCTAAGGACTAGGCTAGGCTAAGGAACTAGGCTCTCTCTCTCTCTCTCTCTCTCTCTCTCTCTCTCTCTCTCTCTCTCTCTCTCTCTCTCTCTCTCTCTCTCTCTCTCTCTCTCTCGCTGTCTCTCGCTCCTCGAACCGCCGAAAACGAAAGCACAAGTAAATAATGAGGACGGGAAGGCACTGGAGGGCCTTAAGTAGGCTCTGAGGGCAGAGGGCAGACCCAGAGGGCAGAGGGCTAGGCTAGTCCCATATATATATATATATATATTTCTCTCTCTCTCTCTCTCTCCCTCCCTCCCTCCCTCCCTCCCTCCCTCCCTCCCTCCCTCCCTCCCTCCCTCCCTCCCTCCCTCCCTCCCTCCCTCCCTCCCTCCCTCCCTCCTCCCTCCCTCCCTCCCTCCCTCCCTCCCTCCCTCCCTCCCTCCCTCCCTCCCTCCCTCCCTCCCTCCCTCCCTCCCTCCCTCCCTCCCTCCCTCCCTCCCTCCCTCCCTCCTCCCTCCCTCCCTCCTCCCTCCCTCCCTCCCTCCCTCCCTCCCTCCCTCCCTCCCTCCCTCCCTCCCTCCCTCCCTCCCTCCCTCCCTCCCTCCCTCCCTCCCTCCCTCCCTCCCTCCCTCCCTCCCTCCCTCCCTCCCTCCCTCCCTCCCTCCCTCCCTCCCCCCCCCCCCCCCCCCCCTCCCCCCCCCCCCCCCCCCCTCCCTCCCTCCCTCCCTCCCTCCCTCCCTCCCTCCTCCCTCCCTCCCTCCCTCCCTCCCTCCCTCCCTCCCTCCCTCCCTCCCTCCCTCCCTCCCTCCCTCCCTCCCTCCCTCCCTCCCTCCCTCCCTCCCTCTCTCTCCCCACCCTCCCCCTTCCTCCTCTCGTCTTTCTTCGCTATCCCCTCTCTTACTCGCTCACTCCCTCAACCTTCACCCCACCTGACAAAGCGCACCTGTTCCTCTCTCTCGCTTTCCCTTTCTCACTGGATCCTCTCCCCCAAACCTTCATTCCTTTCACACCCACTCACCCTTCACATCTTTTGGTTCCTGCTGCTTCTCCTTTGTTCTTCACACAGTGAGCGGCAGAAGCTAGTGTGGAGCTACCTTTTCAAGACCCAAATGGTTCCCGGCGACAATGCGGAGGGGTTTATCGACGGCACTGTAGATGACGACAGGTGTACCGATCTCGCCCACTCGGATTGCGCCTTTTGTCGCTTTGTGCGCTCGGAAACGCTGGACGATGAAAATGCCTCTGCTATAGAGCTGGCTGCTGGCGTTTCGTCCTCGTATAGTGACAACGGTCGCACCTACTCATGCAAGGCGCTAGTAGGAGCTTTCTAAAGCAGGAAAAAAGGGTGTTTGAAGCTGTAAATAGACAGTGCAAATGCTGCAAATGCTGTGCAAATAGCCAACGCAAATGGTTACTATGCTGCATGTGCTGATGATTCTCTCTCTAGCACTTTCCCTTCACGTTGCCCTCTCAGGACATCTGACCTGCATGAAAATCCAGATGTCTGGCGTCTTTCTAGGTGCCTTTAGTACCGTACTTGCACTACTGGTGCCATACCATCAGAGTTTGAGGACTCGAGAGCCATGGAGATCTGTGGCTGTGTGCTCAGGGAAGCATAAAAAAAACCCGTGTTTTTCACTGGACTTGAGACTTCATACGGACCAGCAGCTTTTGAGATTGAAGCGAACTTGAGCTATCACCAGCAGCCGATTGACCCCTCAGTATTTCTGTCCAAAAGAGGCAACACCGTGAAAAGACACACGAGCAGGAGCCATCACAGCATCATCACCTGAGAATCGCAAGCCCGGCCCTCCACTGCCATTTATCTGCAGGAGTGTTCGTGAGCCAGCAGCAGGGCAGCTGTTGCTGAGGATCTGAGAATTCTGAAGGGGTGGCTTTCTGGAGTTGAAGGACATGGTTTCATCAACAGAGTGGGCCGAACGATGACCGGTTCGCTCAGCAGGGAGAGACGAGCATGCAAGGCTGGTTGAGGATAAGAATGGCGTTTCAGTGCCAGTCGAATGACGCCTGGAATGCTCAGCAGGGAAGGAGGAGCATGGAGGGCTGGCTGACAATGGGAATGCGGATTCAATGCCGATCGAACGACGCCTGGAATCACCAAGAGGGGCGGACGAACACAGTAGGGTGGCTGACGATTGGGATGGAGCTTGACTGCCAATCGAGCAGCGCCTGGTTCGCTCAGCAGGCAAGGAGGAGCAATGGAAGGTGGTAAACGATGCGGGTGGGTTTGCAAAACTGCTGCTTGTTGAGCGACGACTTATCCGCTCGCGAGGGAAAGAGCAGGGCGTGCCGTGCCTTGTCCCCAGCACGAGCCGCCTCTGCGACAGCCACAGCACATCCTCCATGTCTTTAAAGGTCTCCTCCTCTTCGCAATCCGAGTCAAGCTCACGGCTCCTGTTCAACCCAGTCACGTAACGACCAGCCTTCGTGCTCTTGATCAACCCAGCCACCGTGGCTGACGAATCAAGCAGCTCGCTTTTGGTTGACACCACGCGATTCGCCTTCAGAAACAATGCACCAGCCTCTCGGCATGATCTCGACATGCTCCGGTTGAGCTCAACTAATTGGCTGGCTGCTGTATGGACCAATTCCGGGTCTCGTGGGATTAATGAGCCTGCTCCGATAGCAGTAGCCCGACCATCCGGCGTTCTCATGGGGCGCTGACGGGTGGTTGAAAAGGCTTCCATGTTGGAGCGATGACAGGAGCAATACGAGAAGAGATGACAGAAGCAATGTCGGAATTACTCGCGAACGCAGAAGTTGTAAGAAATAGAAACGGAAACCCAATCAGACTTTGCTTACAAGCTTTTGCGCTGCTCCCTTTTATACAGAGCCACGGCCAAAGGGAATACTGTATATCCAAAGGGCGTCGAAACGTGGCAAAGCAATATGCATCGGCGGCAGCTATTCCAGCCAGGGAGTGCAGCCACTTACCCATGTGAACTTGACCCAAGTGAGCTCTCTAACAGACGCGACGTCGCAGAGCAATTCACGCACAAGGCGAGTCGCAAGTCCATTCCGTTTTCCGATTTCGAACTGGCACTGTGCAGTGGCTGCCCGGCCGCCGGCGATCTGGTGCTCGCCCCACTGACACTTACGAAACGCCGTGACTTCTAAGTTCTATGTTTATCGTACTGTACATATACTGAAGTGGTCGTACCGAGATAAGAAACGCTATGTGAGAAGCCGCAACGATCGGACCCGGTGAAAATATGATTTAACCGAGGGTGACGTGGCAGACGTGAACATAGAAGATGAAGGCCCATGTGACACCTTCGATCGTGCAATTGCCAACTGGAAGACCAACAGGCTAGTAGGCCAATCGGACGAGTGGAGATGATTACGAGAGAAGTACAGATCACTCAAAAGTATAACTAGAATCTGTACTGCGTCTACTGTGGCCGGTTCAGCTCAGTCGAGCTGGCTGAGGCTGAGAATTACAGCCAGGCCGCCAACCGTAGCCGGTGTAAGGCTCGTCGTCAGCTACAGCGATAAACAATGCAGCCAGGTACATACGGGCTCTGGGCTCCTAAGTTCCCTAACCTGACCTGAATCTGTTACAACACCACATTGAGCGTTTCCGGTTTGGGTGTAAACACAGCACCGTTTTCGCATCAAAACCTAACCTGTCTACTCACCGCCGTGAAAGGACATGAACGATTTACACGAGCGAGGTCGGACGGACCTTGGGCACGTCAGTGGTGACTACGTAAACAGTCGACATCGAAGGCTGTAAGTCCGACGGCTCCTGCTGTTTGAAAGAAATCGGTGAACGTTTGGATGTTACCAACGGTTTGAAGCCACAGGTACTATCCAGTGGCAAGCTATGTGCAAGACCAGAAACTCGAAGAGGGAGACAGCTAACGCGATTGAGGAGCTCATCTGCTCGGTCACATGCAAAAATATTCCCGATTGTCAATACCTCCGAGTTTCTTTAGTAGGATGTGCTCCACAAAGTCTCTTCTTCGCATACATCCGAGTTCCTTTTCTTTATTTCCTGTTTAGTATATATTTTCTTCATAGACATCTTGGGACAACTCAAGAACAGATTGCTCTTGTTCCCGTAAATTATTTATTTGTTTTGCAGTATGTCTTTTTTCCTTTTACCCCTATATTGAGAGTAGAAAGGTACAAAAGGGGAAATTTACCTGTTGGCAGCACAATCTGGAAGCACAACGTGAAAGAACTATCCATCTAGGCGATACATTCACCACCATACATGTTGGCATCACATCACAGCCCGTGGCCTTTCTGAACCGGGTGATGTCAGTCTCTTGCATGATGTTACACTTTCGCACAAGAGCTGCAACAAGTTACAAGCCCGCATGTCTCCTGTTACAAGTTACAAGCGTTACCACAGAAACATCTGCAGCAAGGCTGCTATAGACGGCTGTTGGACTGTGCAATGCAGCGCAAAAAGGCGGAAAGCTGCGACTGCTATGGTTGCTCATACCGCACCAAGCTGTTCTTTGCACTGCCATGCTTCTCAGACTGAGTAATGCACTGGATGTCCAGAGTATGGTAATTCCGGAACTTATGACTACCAGTGATGCTGGTATGCCCACTTTTTGCACCAACGGAGCTGTCCCATGCACTGCCATGGCTTCATTAGGTGGCTGTTCAGGCAGTAACTTTAGATGTCTGGCTTCTGTGGTAACTTGAGAGGCTGGAGCAGCTGGTGATGCTGGTGCTGCTTCTGTGACCATGTCTTGGACCACCAGAGCTGCCTGTTGTGCTGTTGTAGCTGTTACCAGGAGTAATGCATCTCATATTGTGGCTGCTGGAATCATCTGGGAAGTCATTACTGTTGCTGCTGCCCCTGTTGCTGCTGCCACTGCAATTTCTGCAACTGCTGCCACTGCTATTTCTGGTAATTTTACTCATGCCACTTGTTGCTCCATCCGTCTTGTCTCTCGCACTGCCAGTGTTGCCAGTCTGATCAATGAATCTGGACGTTGGGCTTCCTTGGTAACCTCGGAAACTGCAGCTGTTGCTCCGATCAATTCGTCTTACTCCACTGTACACATGCTCATTCCTCCTGCCGTCATGGCTGCCATCATGACTGCTGGTGGTTATAACAGCCCGGCTACAGCAGTCACTGACGCATCTCCTCACTTGTTCGTTCTGGTAGCGACCACTGGGCCCTTTGGCTGAAATGGCCACACCAGAAAGATGCACCCGAGTTAAGTTAAGAGCCACGTTAGGAGTCAGGTTAGGAATCAGGTTAGGATTTATGCTGGCTGCATTGCCTGGAACACGGAAACCAGCAGAATAGGTGCGGTTGAGTCGTCGGTGGGAGGTAGGCAGTGCGTTGGAGTCCCCGCCATGTGGGAAGGAGCAGGGCGTGCCATGCCTCGTCCCCAGCACCAGCCGTCTCTGCCTCAGCCACAGCACGTCCTCCATGTCTTTAAACGCCGCCTCGTCGTCATCAGGATCTATGTTACCCATTTTGACGAACACTGATGAAAGTCCCGCTTGCATTGACGGGGAATCTTGAAGTATCCTGCTTCTATTGAGCTCGATCATGCGGCGTTGCACCATCGTGGATAGGTCGGGTTCAGAAGCAACCCTGGGAGTCTTGAACGCTGATGAAAATGCCGCTTCGATCAAGGGGGGATCTTGAAGATTCCTGCTGCTGTTGAGCTCAGCCATGCGGCGTTGCACCATCGTGGGTAGCACGGGTTCAGAAGCAACCCTTCGAGGGGTTGAAAGCAGAGTGGGGTGGATTTCACTGACACGAGGAGGTATCATCGTTGGAGGGACTCCCATCGAGAAATGCAAGCTTACGGCGGCGAGAGACGCGCTCCTGAAAGTCTCTCTCCCTTCTTTGAAAAAAAGCTTCTCGTGTGCGGAGCAGGAGCGTGCTTTTCGATTCCACTAATACATAGAGCGGCGATTGTGAGTTTAGGAGTGGAAGGCTTCCACTTAAGAAGGAAAACAAGGCCACGAGACGCGGCGTTTGATGGGAGGCTCTCTCTTTAAACCGACTGAGGTGCCGCCATGACACCAGTAACTTGCTACGGTGACATGTTGGCAGGGCAATGAAGAGCGGAATCGACGATCGCTGCAGCCTCGTAGGAAAAAGGAATGCCATATTAGATCTGATTGATGGAGATATGCCTGCTACCTCAGATTGGCAGAACATTGAGATCACTCCGATATTGAACTGACCAATCCGCGATGGACCGCAGTGAGGGATCGACTAAAGTGCGTCAGGTGAAATATCGAAGTGAATGACGTGTCCTTGCAAAGAAATCTCCCTCCTCCCTCTCCCCAACAACCAGACATTTTTTATTCGTGCGTTACGCTTTTCCAATAACTCTGGAACGAAAGTGTCATTGGTAGGGTAAATATCTCGAGGGTTACAAACGCGCCGGGCCAATCCACGAGCAAGAACAGCGAAATATCTGGAAATATCACTTAATAAGGCCAACAGACGCATGGTAAGGCCAGTGGCCTCATAAATTCTGAGCAGATCGCTGCGCTTTCCCCACTCCTGTCGCTACTGTCTCGCTGCCCAGTCCCCAGCCAACAGCAAGCAAAGCAGGAAGATTCACAGAGAATGGAGCAGAGTCGATTTGATAACTCCAGACCAGACGCAAGCAACCCAAACGTGAGGGAATCTCGGATCTGCTGCAAAGCAGACCTCAGTGGGCCTGGCGCGAGGGGAAGGAGGAGAGGGGCGGCGGGAGCACCGCCGAGGGTTCGGGGGGTGGGCGGAGCTCTGGAAGAAGGGGGTGACGCGGGGTGCCTGGCGTGGCGGAAAATATATGCGTCAGGGAGCGGGGGGAGCGGGAGCGGGAGAAAGAGGCGCTTGTGCTGGAAAGAGGGGCGAGCCTGGGGGGGACTAGTGGTGTTGGCGCCGAAGAACGAGGGGGAGGGGAGCGGCGAACCACGCTTCATAGCGAGGGTCTCTCGGTTCTGTGTGGTTTTGCTGAACGAATTTAGCATCAGCAACCGCCCAGGTGAGTAACGGTTAAAACTGGTTCTGTCTTCAGACAGGTATGGTGCATGGAGGTTCGATTACAGAACAGATGAGCTCTTCAACAAGAGCGATGCTGGACGGCGTTATGAAGTATGGCAGTAACGGGGACAATGTGGCTGCAGCCTGCAGTTCGAGTGACCAATGGTCATGACGAAGGCTTTCTGTATTGGGGTTTACATACTAAAAAATAGGGAGGAGATTAGGCAGGAGGTCAGGCAGGAATTAAAAACTTTTCAAAGAAGGAGAGTGTGCGTAAGGATTCACCTTTTCTTAATCGACTCGCACAGGCTATACAGAAGCAAATCATGGCACACCCAAGGCCCAGTCTTTCCGTCAAATGCGGACTGCTCCTCAGCAAGCTTTATCGCCTTCCCTGGTCGCAGAAGCGCCGCGTGATAGCCGCATTAGCTATCGCGGGTCTCGTACTCTCAATTATGTTACTATTTCCGTTAATGTTCATTTCCGGCACAGACTCCCGACGCGACGCCGGTTATTTCACGTATCCGTTACAGTCGCTTCGCCCGCCGCTTCGCACGCAGGAATGCAGCCGCTTAGCGCAGGCCGGCTCGGAGCGCGCCATTGGCGCGATGGAGCGGTGGGATCGAATATCGGGAACCTCTACAGCGGGTTTTCCCGCTCGGGATGGATGCACCGTGGAATACACGTCAGCAGCCGGTCCTCCCTCCGCTACAGGCACGCCTAATCTCAAGCATTCCAAATGCGCGATCGAGTGGGTGACTATATCGAAAGGGCCTGAGTTGGGGGGGACTGCTCCTTTTAAATGCTCGGAGAATCTCCATAGGCTCGTCGATTCATGCCACATGAACGACATTCCGATCACCATCTTCGGCCTCCATCCATCCACCACTCCCCCGCCTCCGCCTCCCGGCTCTCCAGAACCTTCCTGGATGAATCTCCTCTTTAAATACCTCCATGTACTGCCGCCGGACCGCATAGTAGCCGTTTCGAGCTCTGACAATGTCGTCATGCTGCCTAGCAGGCACTGCGAGCAGCAGCACCTGCTCGAGTCCTTCCTCTCGTTACAGTCACCCGTGGCCTTCGCAGCCAACGACCGCTGCGCGCCCTCACCGTCCTCCTCCTCCACATCCTCCGCCTCCTCCGCTTCCTCGTTCTTCTACAAGCCGCATTCAGCAGAAGGCGCGCCGAACAGGTTCCTTAACCCGGGGATGTTTATAGGGTACGCATGGGCTATGCAGCGAGTGCTGGAGGTAGTGGTTGGGAGCAACCTAGGGCACAGCCCCTCAGGCCATGCTGCTTCAGCTTCTGGCTCTGCCTCTGCTGCTGCCGCAGCTGCTGCTGCAGGTCCTGCAGGTGCTCATGCTGATGCGCAGAGGCAGCTTCTCCTGGCGTTCTTGGCGCAGGATAATATCTTCTCCTCTCTCCCCCGACTGCCCATGGATTTCCCTTTCGCCAATGTTACCGTCAGCAAAATGGGGGGTGGTGATCCTGCGGTTGGGTCGGGCGCAGGGGGCGGTGCAGGGGGCGAGGTGGAGGGACAGGATGCTATGGCGTTGCCTGTCACATTCGCGTCAACCGCGCTCGACAGCCGCTTTCTTCCCAGTTCCTCCGATCCATCGTCTTCCTCATCCTCTTCATCATCATCATCATCAGCAGCAGGGGCAGCTGTGTGTGCTGCATTTCCCTCTCACCCTACAGCCCCCTCCTCCTCTCGTCCTTTTATTTCTCTCGACCACCAGAACCAGCTCTTTCAAGTGCTGGGAGCACGTGGTGCTGCAGCTCCAGGGGGTAAGGAAGTGGAAGTGGTGGCGTCGGGGGAGGATGTGCGAGTGAAAGCGGAAGGGACGGGAGGGGAGGCGTGTGCGTTTCAGCAGGAGGATTGGGTGGGTGGAGGAGGGGAGGGGGCGGAATTGGGTGTTGTGAGGCTGATTAAGGATGTTGGGATCGACCAGCGGAGGAAGGAGAGGGGTTACATAGTGTAGGCACTTGTGGAATGGGGGGATGGGTTCGGGGTGGGGGAATGAGGGATGCGTGCTGAAGTACGGTATTTGTGGGTTGAATTGAGACGCCTGGGCTGGGCTGGGTACTCAGTTGCCTGCCTGAGTTGATGCTTCTCTGGAGGTACATGCTATTACCTTTTTAGCTACGGTGCTTCGAAATGCCATTCAATTCCATCGCTATCCATACGTTATGCCAACCATTGTTTCATGGACGAGGATAACACCTAAATTTTACAGAAACGTGATTACTAAACGACTATTGCTGTAATCTATTAGCGCACTTGCGCTCATATTCCTGCAATTTGATTTACCCAGGTTTGTACAGAGTAGGTAGTTTTTTATCACCAGAAAGCCAGTTTTGTTGTCTGTCCATCTTCTTGAATACAAGCACTTTCTTCTAACGCGGAAAACTTTGGCAAGCTTCGTGTGTGCTGTCCAGCCATACACGTACTGTACCCGCCCGCTCCGTCCAGCAAACCAGGTCACAGGGGGTCAACGCCTGAGGTACGCTGGGGACAGGGCTCGATCGCCCAGAAAACTTCCAGTCCACACCCAGGCTGACGAAGTTGGTGGCAAGAAAACGACCACGTGGCTCAGCTTACATCTCAGATCCAGTGAGCGCCGAAGCGGACCATCCACCGTGGCGTATCAATTGGACAGCCACGTCTATCAGTGAATCTCTGTTGCCTTTCTGGTTTCAAGCCTCAGTCAGGCTTGACAGTCAATTTCAATTCGCGGCTCGGAAAACTCATAAATTCACTTGCTCGCACAGTCTTCACAACATCTGCTGCAGACTACTCAACTATCATCTCGGGCTTCCTCGCTCTCCTCGCTCCTTCGAACAATTATTCCAGATTTGTCGTCTTTATCGCAATGGCTTCCTCCCTCATTGCTCGCCAATCGCTTTCTTCCCTTTCGTTCGGCACAGCGGTGAAGGGCGCTCCTGTCTCTGTCAATCGCGTAGCAGCAGCTCCCATTGTCGCTCCCCGCGGACTCGGGGTGACTGCCCTCCTTGGCTTCAACAAAACCGCTATTCCCGCTAAGTCCGCACCCGTTAAGAAGCAGCTCCGTACAGAAGATGGCATTTTCGGCACATCCGGCGGCTTCGGCTTCACGAAAGCCAACGAGCTCTTCGTCGGCCGCGTGGCGATGCTTGGGTTCGCCGCGTCGTTCCTCGGCGAAGCGGTAACCGGTCAAGGAATCCTTTCGCAACTCAACCTCGAGACCGGAATCCCCATCACGGAAGCCGAGCCGCTGCTCCTCTTCTTCATTGCATTCACCGTACTCGGCGCGATCGGCGGGTTGGGCGACCGCGGGCGATTCGTCGACGACGAGGCGCCTGCGGGTCCGCCGGTGAAGCCAGGGAATTTCAAGGCCGCGCTTGGGCTGAGCGACGACGGGCCGCTGTTCGGGTTTACGAAGGCTAACGAGCTGTTTGTGGGGCGCATGGCGCAATTAGGGTTTGCGGCGAGCTTGATCGGCGAGGTGATCACCGGAAGAGGCGCTTTGGCGCAGCTGAATATCGAGACTGGGTTACCGATTTTTGAGTTGGCGCCGCTGCTGTTGGCGAGCATCGCGTTCTTCTTCGTCGCGGCTATTAATCCCGGTACGGGGAAGTTTATTAATGATGAAGAGTAGGTTTGCAGAATCTGTATATATTATTCCTTCCGTAGGTCCTGATTTTTCTCATGTACACATGCAAACATAGTTCAATGTTACTTCACATATTTTCTCCCTGAACGTCGAGTCAACGCGATTACGAAATGCTCAGCTTGATTGTCATGCCGTCCCGTATGGTGCACATGTCAAACGTTGGCCAACAACTTACTGATTAGACATACAAAACCTGATTCGGAAGTCATCTCAATAGCTCTCGAACAGCACCTGAAACTTTTGTAATCCCCACTGACATGAGAGTAGTGAAACCTACCCAAACTGTGTGACAATCAGCTATCGTCTGACCTAGACATTCATGGAAAGATAGCTATAGCCAAGTCAGAAGTTCAAACGTTGAAACAAGTAATAATTAAGATGTTGGTGCAACCCTACGGTTTGCATTCGGCTTGTTGTCCGTGTGCGTGCATGCGTGTGTGCATGGAATGGTATGAGGGCATAAAATTATATATATTTCATGCTTACAATAGTGTGTGAATGATGAGGCATGATTTTGAATGTGTGTGTCAAGTCAATAGCGAGTTATCGCTAGTTGCGTGTCACGTCGTCGTTTGCGTGTCGTGTGCGGTTTTCTATTTTGTCGTGTGTGGAACGTTCGGCGTGTCGCAGGTGTGCGCAGCAGACTTCCAAGAACTCAAGGAAGAATTTATCTTGAAGAACCAGAGCCTTGGTTTCAAGATTCAAGTGATTTCGAAGCTCTCCAAAAGGGTAAACTTTAAGATAGTGAGAATAGTTGCATTACTTTGTGTAGTGTAACATTTCTCTTGGTGTAGGCCCTTGTGGAGGGTAGTTTCGAGACCCTTCGTGGTTGGGGACAGTGTGGCACTGTTCCACATCACTTTACCTCGGCTCTTGGGGTTTGTAGGAGCTGGGAGTCATTCCCAACTCGTAACTCTTCCTATCTTGTGTTCTAAGACTATAGTGGCTGCCATAGTACCGTTCGTTCAAACCGACGCTGTGTCGTCAATTCTTTATCAAATCGTGCAATCTAAATTGATAATTGTAGAAGACGTGAAGACGCTCCAGATCCAATTTGAATCAAGTCATTTGCAGCTGTGAGCAGAACGCTATCAACGTTTGAAGCCGCTGTGCAGAAATCCGTCTGTGCTCTCTATCTTTCGTTTTAGGCACATTCAAGCCTATTGTGACTATAACAAGTGGTATCAGAGCCCCTTGGAGCAGTTTCGACAATGTCTGGACCTGAGGAAAGGGGTGGCAGAGGTGCTGGTGGCAGTGGAGAAGCTCAAGCTCAAGGCCAACCCCGTGATTCAGCCATGGCGCCCATGCAACCAAGTCTTGGCCCACCTAGGGATGAGCCTAGGGTGTTTGGGCTTGACAAGTTCAACGGTGACAACTTTGCTGAATGGTCCTTCAAGATGGAGAACATCTTTGACCACTATGACCTGCTGGAGGTGATGGAAGGAACGGAGAAGCGCCCCGAGAACGACCCGGAGAAGAGCCCGTGGGTGCGGAAGAGCGCACAAGGCTATCTCTTACTTGGGCAAGCGTTGGGGAGCAGTCAGATCCGTCACATCAAGCCATTCCAGCGTGAACCAGAGAAAGGACCAAAGGCATGGGCTGCTCTCAAGGGTGTACATGCTCCTGCAACAGCGGCGGTAGCGGTGGTGTTGGAACGGCAAATGGCGGCACTACGAATTGAAGAAGACGAAGCGGTTGAAGAAGGGGTGCAGAAATTCTTCGACTTGTTGACGCGGCTTGAGGGAGCTGATTTGAACTACAGTGAGCTCCAAAAGAAGACCAAGTTGCTGGCCTTACTCCCAGAGTCATGGTCCTCGCTCATCATCAACCTTAATCGCGACTTGCCCCGCCTCTCGCTTGAAGACGTGAAGCGAGCTATCCTTCAAGAGGATTTCCGCCGCCGTGAGTTGGCGAGTGCGGATGGCGCTGGGGCAGCGAGCATCGGCCGTGGATATGGTCGAAGAAGAGGCAGAGGACGAGGGGGGAGGAAGGTTTGGTGGCAGCAACTTCGGCGGAGGCCGCAGGAGTGGCGGTTACGGCAGCGACGACAAGAGCTACGGACGCGGTCGCGGCCGATTCGACGGCGAGTGTCACTATTGCCACAAGAGCGGACACATGTGGCGCGACTGCTACAAACTCCCTGATGGTTGGACCCCTGCTCAAGGCCAAGAGGGTAGAGGAGCAGGAGGAGGGAGAGGACGAGGCCGTGGAGGCCGTGGCGGTCGCGGTGCGGAGCTGCAAACATGAAGAGCGGAGACAACGACAAGGACCCGAGCGACGATCGATACCCGGGTCTATTCTACTTCGTGTCGACGCAAGTACCGGCTGGTCCAGAGAAGGATGAAGGCTTTGAGGAGCCAGCAGCTGTGGGGAAGGTGACCCTACACCCCCTGGACTATTGGGTGATTGATAGTGGCGCTACCTATAGCATGACACCTCGCCCGGACTTGCTCACCGAACTCGAGCCGTCACCGGTGAAGCATGTCACATCGGCTTTGGGGCAGCGAGCAGAGGTGAAAGGCATGGGCAAGGCCATGTTCAAGGGTGCTGATGGGAAGATGGTGGGCCTCAAGAACGTGCTTTGGGTGCCCAGCCTTGCTGCAAACCTGATTTCCGTGCGGCGGTTGGCAAAGGCCGGCATGGACACGAACTCGAAGGGAGCCAAGACCTACACCGCAAGGCTTGGCGATCGAATTCTTTGGGACCTTCATGAGGACAGGGATGTCTACAACGAGATGTGACAGATCCCAGTGGTCCCTATGCCTAAGGAGAGGCAAGTGGCAGCAAGCATCAGCACCAAGGATGGAGCGGTCGGTAGCGACGATGGCGCGAACGGTCGCGCTAAGGAGAATGAGCTCAAGAAGAGCAAACCTGGAGGGACCAGCAAGTTCAGTGAACCTAAGGAGAGTGGTGCAGCAACCAAGGAGCAGCAAAAGGGTGAGGAGAACCCAGAGGCAGCAGCGGAGGAGGACTACGGAGAGAGTATGTGGGGCGCTATTGCGAGCGCGGCATTCTCCAATCCAACTTCGGGTACGGGGGAGTGTGATTGGCTCACCTTGCATCGGCGCATGGGGCATGTGGCCCTGCCCATCTTGCAGCAGCTAGTGAAGAATGAGATGGTTGCTGGCATACGTGTGAAGGGGGAGCCCGATGAGGTGCTTGGCTGCCCGACGTGCATTCAAGCCAAGTTCACCCGGTTTCCGTTCCCTAGTTCGGAGGCAACGGCAAAGGCACCGCTTGATGAGGTGGTGATGGACGTGGTGGGCCCCCTGAAGCTTGGAGCTGCTGGAGCTGAGTATTTTCTCACCATTGTCGACGTCTACACCCGCATGACTTGGGTGTACGTGCTGGCCAAGAAGAGCGACGTGGCTGAAACGTTGAAGACGGATTGGTTCCCGATGGTGGAGCGGCAACAAGACCGTCTAGTTAAGTCAATCCGCACCGATCGAGGGGGAGAGTTCCTGAGCAAAGAGTTTGGGTTGTGGCTGAAGAAGAATGGTATTCGGCACTCCCTCACCATGCCATACTCCCCTGCAATGAACGGCATCGCCGAGCGAGCGAACCGCACAATCACGGAGGCGGCACGCGGGTTGCTCATTGAAGCCGGGCTACCCGACTATTTCTGGCCTGATGCGGTGCGGAGCGCGTGTGTGGCCAAGAACAGAGCTTTGAATCATGTGGGAGCAGACAAATGGGTGCCCTATGTGGAGTGGATTGGAAGGAAGCCAAAGGTGGATATGCTTCGGGTGTTCGGGTGCATGTGCATGGCGCTCGTGCCTAAGCATCTTCGGCACAACAAGCTCGGTGCCAAGGCGATATGGGCTGTGCACTTGGGCATGGCTCAAAACAGCAAGGGGTGGCTTCTTTGGGACCCATTCACTAAGAAATTCTTGGTGAGCAGGGACTGCAAATTCATGGAGAATCTGATGTACAAGGATTGGAAGGCGGAGAATGAGGCGAAGATAGGCATGCGGTTTGGGGAGGTGAAGAGTTCCGGTTTGGAGCATGTGGAGCTGCCCTTGGAGCTGAGCAGCGGCAGCACCACCACAAGGCAATCTTCCCTTGTGAATGGGGGAGAGGAGGCCAAGGATGCAGAGGAAGAAGAGGAGGAGGTGCAGCAAGTGAGCGAGCGTGCACCGACACTTCCTTCTCGCACTACAAGTGCTCCACGGATCCGAGTCACCCCGCAGCAACGCCAAGGCCTTCATGTCCCTGCAGCTGAGGAAGAAGGAAGGGGCAAGAGGAGAATTCAAGCCCCTAATAGGCTGACCTATGATGCACTGGGAAAGCCAGCCAAGTCAGCCTTGGCCGGAGCGGCACTTATAGTTGGAGATGACAAGGAGAGTGACTACGAGGAGTGTGCCTTCGCGTTCTTCTCTCCGGTGGAGATGCCGGGGGAACCAGCAACTCTCAAGGAGGCCTTGGAGAGTAGTGATGCTGAGGAGTGGAAGAAGGCAATGGAGAGTGAGCTGAAGAGCATTGAGGAGAACGGCACGTGGGAATTGGTGGAGCTACCGGAGGGGCGTAAGGCGATTACGTCCAAGTGGCTCTTCAAGATCAAGTCCGACGCCGACGGCAAGATCGAGCGCTACAAGTCTAGGCTTGTGGCGAAGGGGTACCAGCAGAAGGAGAAGGTGGACTATAAGGAGTTGTATGCTCCTGTGGTGAAGCCGACGACGCTGAGAACCCTACTCGCGGGAGCTGCCATCAAAGGATGGGTGGTGAAACAAATGGATGTCACAACGGCATTCCTCAACGGCGTCCTTGAGGAAGAGATTTTTATGGCGCAGCCAGAGGGGTTTGATGATGGTAGTGGCAGAGTTCTGATGCTGAAGAAGGCCCTTTATGGACTGAAGCAGGCCCCTAGGCAGTGGTACTTGAAGCTGCGAGGAGTTTTGGAGGAGATAGGCTTCACTCCTTCATCCGCCGATCATTCCTTGTTCATGCTTGGCGAGGGGGAGCAAAGGAGTTTCATGGTGGTTTAT